AGTTGAGCAACCTTAACTTTTCCTCATTACGTGGGACAGTCTTACAATATGGATTCAGACATCCCTCCATCACACTGAAAAATTTTCTATTTTACTAGATGCTGGGGAAGGGATGACAGAACTGATCAGTCAGTTGTCGGCTGTGAAACTTTTTTGAGCTGAGACCAGAATCGCATACAGTGATTGGTAAGATAGGATGGTCATAGGCAACCTTAACTTTTCCTCATTACGTGGGACAGTCTTACAATATGGATTCAGACATCCCTCCATCACACTGAAAAATTTTCTATTTTACTAGATGCTGGGGAAGGGATGACAGAACTGATCAGTCAGTTGTCGGCTGTGAAACTTTTTTGAGCTGAGACCAGAATCGCATACAGTGATTGGTAAGATAGGATGGTCATAGAGACATGACTACAGAATATCTCGATAACGATAGAGATAACTCTGTGGGACATGTCTCCTGATCACGATGAAATTTCTGCTTACAGATACAGTGATAAATCCACATGGATGTACAACTCAATGAGAAACTGGGGGCTGAGGTAGCAGTATAAAAAAAAGACTATGCAATCTTGGAGAGATGTGTGATCAAAATGAAATACTTCCAAGACTCAGTTCCGAATACACTATAGCACTGTCACACCAGGCCCACTATACGTGGGTGCACAAATACATTTGGCACTGGGCTCACAAAATGTTAATTCAGCCCTGAAAGTAAATATTTTCTTTCTTTAATTAGTTTCCTGTTAGAAGAATTCAGACTTTGCACAAAGTTTTTCTGCTAAGAAATTTTGAACTAAACTGCCCTCTCTCAGGAAACCTGGCAATGTGAAATTGACTAAACTTATATAATTTTGGTCAATAGAACATTGCTGCTGTTGGCATTGATAGAATGGTGGCACTGTACAGAATTTTCAGACTAAATCATGCTTAAGGTTATTCTTGGTTGCTTCATAAAATGCCAGACAACAAAGAGTTCCCCCTTGATTGTGAGTCAAATTTAAAACCACAACAAAGTGATAGTATTTTTATTTGCTATATGATATTCCAAACCGTATTAAACAAACTCATCAGAAAATTACATGCCTCAAGGTATTATCTCTGAAAGCAATAACTACTATAATGTTGTTACCTGTAACATGATGTGTAAACCAGCTATTCCATTTTACAATAAAAATGGAAAAATGAAAGCTGCAATTTCCTTTTAATAAAAAGATCACTTAACTCACTGAAGAACTACACTGCATTTGCAATATTAAATAAACTACATTTCATAATCAGAAAAGGATATATTATTGAAGCTTAGCTTTGGATAAGTAGGAATGTTACCCATGCCTTTACTCAGAACAGGTGTCTCCTAAAAAATTAATAATAGTGGAATTGCTTGATGCAGCACTTCTGAGCCATCTCTTTAATTATGCATGACTGCACTGCTACCTGCATAAAACAGGCCTAGAGACACACAGACAGCATCTCAGTTCTGAGATTTCACAGGTTACATTGCCAAGTAAACAATCTGATATTCATAAAAACATGAATTCTGTAAGGACAAGAATATATCAATGTTAGTAAGTTACAAAACAAAATAAAAGTACATCAATACGCCACACCCCAAAAATTATAAGGGGGGGAACAACTACACATATCAGACAAATATAACAAGGTGTACATATGGACTAGCTTGCAAGGTTTACAGCCTTACAGTTGTTTAATGCCAAAAACTATTGTCAGAGAAGCTTATGGCAAGAGCTCGGTTCTCACTGTATGTTTCTGATTCCAAAATGACCTGGAAATCATGCAAGTAAGGTTTACAGAGTTAGAGAACTGAGCACCCTGAAAATGTGAGATTTTCAAAGCTAACTGGAGAATTTAATCATATACATTCCATTATAAAGGCAATTTCCCCTCTTTGGATATTCACATCTCCACACCAAATGCTGTGAATGACCTTTTCCAACTTGACTTGATTAGTTTCATTAACACTGGGCATGTTTAGAAATCGTTTATTTCAATAATTGTGTAACATTTACACAGTTATTCAGTACTTCCCCCGCAAGGGCAGGCCTCTTGCTACCCAGTGAAGCAGCCTCTGTCCATGTTAGTCCCCAGCTTACCAGAAGCTGCTCTGTGGGATGCTGGAGCAGCAGCACAGGTAGCAGGCTGCTCCCCTGTGAGCAATTCCTTTAAAACTCAAACCGGCAGGCTGGGACTGAGCTAGCCCACCGGTCCCTGTTTTAACTGCAGGGCACATGGAGGTAGAGGGTTGTTGTGGTTAACTGGGTACATTAACCAATAAGCAATTGCTTATCTGTTAACCAGTTAATGGCTACTCAGCTAGCATCCCTAATTAACACAGGCAACTTCTTCCTTATCTATACTGCTTCTGTAACTTCCTTTCCAATTCATCTAATGAAGTGGGTTTTACCCACAAAAATAATAATAAATCTATTACTCTTTAAGGTACCACAGGACTCCTCATTATGAATTTCATTGAAATTAATAGGAATAGTCAACTATAAAAATTTCAACTATATTTTTTAGAAACCAACTTTGCAGTCTTTCAAGATAAGAAGCTGGGAAAGCATATTTGGCTGTCGTGCATGAATATAAAAAATGTATTTAAAAAATATAAGATAAAGCTTTGACAAATTAAAAGGATAAATGATTTTTTCTAGTTGCTAGTTATGCAATCTAGAATTGGGATTTTTCTGATCCATGTATGTATATCAGGCAGGAATAGCTAATTTTATTCTCTTAAAAAAACAAACACACAACTTTGGGAGCCACCAAGAATCATCAAGGTGTCCAAAGCAAAATAAAATAACTGTGGGATCTTCATTAAGCTTCTTTTCCCACTTGCCTTCCTTTTGTCTGTCATGCTTACTTGTTGCCTTTTTTATCCATTTAGGTTCTAAACATGTAATGATAACCATATGGCAGACTCTGCAGCCATGAAGAACCCTGCTTCTTTAAATGAAATCTCGTGGACTTTGTTCTATCAGCTAATTTCTATTACCTTATGCATGATTTTAAATTATTTAAATTTGTACCTACTCTAACTTTACAAGCACATTGAGTTTTCACTAAAACATAACCATTAACAAGCCCTACCACAAGTCCATTTCAATTAGTCTCTTGTGGTTCATTTGCAGAAATACCTGCAATGTTGAATATGCATGCCTTTTCAGAATTCAATATACAAGAACTAGAAATAAGTCAAATGCAGAAATTACTTTAAAACCTTCCAGCTCAGAATCAGAAACTTAGAAGGAATAAAAACAACTTACTATGTAGTTCGCGATGTATCACATCTACTAGATTTGGTTCATCTCCCCACCAGAATATCCATAACTCCTTACAATCCGGTTTGACATCACGACGCCACACACACAGCAAATTAGCCTGCAGGCAGCGGATGAAGCTTAGCAGAATTGGATCATCCTGGGCTGGGGCTGAGATGATAGGGCCACAATCCCCATGACCTTCAAAATTGTACCTACGCCATTTGATGCCTGTGAGTTCAGCCTGATGGAAGGGAAAAAAAATTATTACTTCAGTTTGCTTCAAAAATAATTTATACTCATGGTCTTATTTTTTTTTCTGTTTTTGGATTTCAATTCCTGTGTTTCATTTCTCAATTGACAATGATAAAATTATTGCTAATATGAATAAATACTTTCCCAGGCACCCCCCACACCCCGCTTCCTCTAACAAAAGAAGACTCAAACAAGCTTTTAGAGTAAATAAAGAAAACATATTTAGGAGGAAAACATAATAAAAAACCTAGTTTAACCCTAGATTCATTGTTTCACAACAACCAAGTTGACAACACATCCAGCTGGGTTACTGCATTTCCCAAATAATTTATTAAACTTTCTGTTATGGCTCCCCTTATGTTAAGTGTTGTATAAATGGACACAATCTCTGCCCTGAACAGTTCACAATCTAAGGCCCTGTCCACACTTCATGGTAAGTCGATGTAAGTTATGCAACTTGTTTAACTTCAGTCAACAGAGTTTACATTGACTTACCACGGTGTCTACATTCCACTCTGTTGATGGGAGAGCATCTCTTGCCCAACATCAATCTACTGCTCAATGAGAAGGAGAAGTTCTCACCCACTGACTTACTGTGTCTTCACCAGACCCACTAAATTGACACTGCTGCATCAATTGCAGAAACATCAATTTAGCATGCAGCAAGACATGTGCTAAAAGTCAAAAACAGAGGAAAGGTATGAAATAAGGATTAAATATGCAATGAAAAGGAATACCGTGAAGAACTGGTGCAGTTTTGTCAACTACAGTAAAACTCCAATAGTCCAGTATCCAATTGTACAGCACTCCCGACAGTCCAGCATCAAAATGGCTAGAGCCGAGTGAGTGCGCTTCAGCAAAAAAACGAGTCACAAGGCATCAGCAGCATCGGCTGAACCAAGTGAAAAGGGTAAAAAAAAGTTACAAAAACTGAAACATTACTGTATACAGTATGTACAATAAAAAGGGTTAAAAACACTTTATATACAGTAAGTGTGTGTGTGTGTGTGTGTATATAACCAGTTTATAGTACCTCCTGATAGTCCAGCATATCCGATCCGGGACCACCTAGGTCCCACAGCTTCCGGATTATCAGAAGTCTACTGTATTGGGTTTGCTGGTTATAGGTTTTAAACTTTTAATTAGAGGTATAACTAAAGCAATAAGTGGCAGTTAAAGGAATTAGTAAGAGCAAGTTAACAAGAAATGGAAAAGGCACAGTCACAGCTCATCTACCCAACTGCGCAGGATTTTGTAGGCCTCGTGGCAAAGATGAGTCTTAATAAGGGATAAGAACAGTGATAGCTAAAAATATGTTTCAGGGTATCTTTTCCTATGCAGCCCGTGGGGGTGCTTTAGGAGAAAGGGTATACATAATTAAGATGGAAATAGTGGATTGGAGTAATAACCGTGATGTAGTGGGGAAAGGAAAAGTAACACAAATCTAAATAAGATGCTGATGTGGTAAGAGTGATGACTGTAACCTAAGTATTTTTAATCAAATTGAGAAGAGTAAAGTTTCAGCAGTCAAGCACAGAAAGGAGGAGCTGGCAGTAGTCAATACATGAAACAAGAAGAGCATGAACAAGTGATTTAGCTATGCTGACAAAGAAAGGAGATCAGGTTTCAGAAATATCATATGGGAAGAAGTGAGATCTATGTGGATTTTAGAGAACAGTGCTGATCTAAATGACAGAGAAAGCACAGAAACAAGAGAACCAAAGCCCATTTTGGCCACACTGAATGTAAGAAAATGATTGCATAGCAAACAAAAAGATTTAAGATAGTCTGTGATGCCGGATTAGAGGGAGGGAGATATTAGTAAAACAGTAGAGAGCCAAATTTATGAGTCATTGCCACAAGATGAAAATCAAAGTCAGGTCCATATAAAAAAAAGTCACAGATATAGAGCCTAAAGAGAAACAAAAGATGGGAGATCAAAGATACAGTCTTGGGAGATGCCTAAAGAAACCAAGAAAAGAAAAGAATTACAACCCAATAAACGCATAGAAAGAGTAATTGAGATAAGACAAAGCCACAAAAGCCGGTAGAGGAATAATTTCAAGAAGCAGGGAGTGGCTGACTATCAAAAGTCACAGAGAGGTTGAGGAGAATAAGGATAGAATTGGGGGAGGATGAAAGATGAAAGGGGAGGAAAACAATTGTAGCCAGCACTTTCAAAGCACTTGAAGATTAAGAGAGTTTGGACAGCAGCTTAAGGGTTAGGTAAGTCAAGGTAAATGATTTTTTTAAGACAGGGAAAGCATACTTGTACTGAGAGGAAAAGTATTTTTCCGCTTTACAAAAGAGGAAATGCAAGGAGAGAAAGTGAAGGATGAAAGATGAAAGGGGAGGAAAACAATTGTAGCCAGCACTTTCAAAGCACTTGAAGATTAAGAGAGTTTGGACAGCAGCTTAAGGGTTAGGTAAGTCAAGGTAAATGATTTTTTTAAGACAGGGAAAGCATACTTGTACTGAGAGGAAAAGTATTTTTCCGCTTTACAAAAGAGGAAATGCAAGGAGAGAAAGTGAGAGAGGAACTTAGAGACATTAAGGCCACATCTACACTGCAGGCTTCTTGCACAAGAACAGCTGTTCTTGCGCAAAAACATGTGGAGTGTCACAGTGCACGCACATTCTTGTGCAAGTAAATTTACAGTAAAGCATCAAAACAACAAAGGGCTTCTTGAGCAAGAGTTATTCCTCTCCCTTCAAGGAATAAGCCCTCTTGAGCAAAACCTGTTGCGCAAGAAGGCAGTGTGGATGGGCAAAAGGGGTTTCTTGTGCAAGAAAGCATCCACAGTGCCATGGACACTCTTGCACAAAAGCACATCTCTTGTGCAAAAGCACATGGCAGTGTGGTCACGTTCTTGCGCAAGAACTTTGCACAAGAAGCATGTAGTGTAGACATAGCCTAAGAGACTGGGGGAAGGTGTGTCACTGGCACAAGAAAAGAGACTAGATAGAAAATCTCACTGTCAAGTATAGCTTTGGAAGAGAATAGAAAAAGTGTGGAGCGGGGAACAGACACACCATACCAGATATGACTGTTTTTCTATGAAGTAATCTGCAAAATCTGCGAAGACAAAAAAGAAGCATGGAGGACTGTGCTTGAAAAAAAAAAAAAGTGATTGGGAAAAATGAAGGACTTAATGATTGTAGAGAAGTAGAGGTATCTACTTCAGCAGGTGACTGAAAACAACAACAAAAAAGTGAATTTACAAGGATGCAAGTCAGAATGGCCTCAGAACTTCCACCAAAGATGATCTGCAACACTGTAACAATAACAGAAAAAAGTAGATGTTGGGAGTAAACTTGCTGCTGACAAGACAGACCCTGTAATGAGAGAAAGCAGCAAGAAATGGTGGAAATATGAGAATGGAGGGAATTGACAACTAATGTGTTTGCTAAAAGTTTTGCCAAAATAGTTATGTACTAGCTGGACTTAGCTGGCGTTGCCCAGGAAACTGGAAGAACAAAATTTAGAAAAGAGCCACACCGCAGCTGCCAGTGCCTGATATCTGGCCATGATGGTAGACTCCCATGCTTTTCTACTGCTGCATAAAGCAAAATCTCTGACTCAAAAAAGAGGCATTGCAATGTTGAGAATCAGAGCTATTTGAGTTGGCAAACTTAGATACAAAAGTCACAATAGAAACTATGTCTCTGTTTTCTTCCCACGTCTTGAGTCTTGCAGCCAATAAAAGCACAGTGAAAGGGAGAGCCCCCAAATCACCATGGCTTTTTTTCCCCCCA